TAATGCGAAATTGGTGGTGGTTTAAATACTTTTGTGTTCCAAAAAACTCGGAGGTGGCATTTGTCCTATCAGTGACTGGCTGGAGAATTGCTGGGATGATCAATGAGATGTAGCTAACTGTTTTCTGTGCTGAACCCTTAATAAGTATTGAAATAGGAATGACACCTGAGAATTCTGCAGGAAGGAAACTAGACAAAGGATGGTATGAATGAACCATTATTCTTAAGAAAGAATTGAATTGAAGAAAAAGAACTTACTGGATATAAATTTGGCAAGATGGGACTCTGTGTTGGCTGAGCCCTAGGAAGGGGTAGTGATGGAGGGAAGTGAGCCATGGGAAGGAGGTTGCATTTTGTATATTTATGAGCTGCTGTCTAGTGCCCTTAAGTGTCTTTCAATTAAATGATTTTGAACTGAAGCATTTGGACTGATGTTTTGCCAGCAGTTGGAAATGGTGGTGGCCGTGGAGCCTGAAATTTAGAACTACGGTTATTTGTCAACTTGTGAGTAAACAGCGTAGAAGTTTATACTGGGGCACATTCTGTTTGTGTGCTTGTGTGGTTAGTGTGTCTGTCTAGCTCTTGGTCTGTTTCTCTCTCTCTTTGTGCCTCATGCAGGCCCTGCCATGAATTTTCTCTGACCTCTTGGGGCCATTCCCACATGAAGCTTTGATGTGTGTGCCCAGAGCTTGATTGACAAGGAAGTTTTGGTGGTGGCAGCAGGAAAGGAAGAGAAAAGAAGAGGGCTTTGAACTAAAGGGCTTTGAGCTCTGAGATGCTGTGCTTACTTATCTCCTTCAGAACGTTAATTATTTACCGAGATAATTGGGTGGGAGAGGAAAAAGAGAGAGGGGAGGTTATTAAAAAATTCCAGCACTAACACGCTACAAAAACCTAATTTTCCAACTTGCAGCCTTCATGAAAAGGATGTTGTGTGTAAGAGGGCTTGAGTGTATGTGTGTTTGGGGAGGGAGCGTCGAGGGGACTCCTTTTTAAGCCACCCATTTCCTAAATAGAGGGATCCCTTCAGACAAATGCAGCAGAAACATCAAAGCTCTTGCAAGAGTTTTCTCTGGGGGTTTCTAAACTGTCTGGTACTTCTTAATTAAAAAGTTTATGGAGAGCCGTCTTTCTGATTGGAGCAGGCAACTTTAGGCCCTGTTGAATGAGGAATGACATGTTAAAAGACCTAATAACTAATGATTTCTGCTAAAATGTCAGTTCAAGGATGTGAATATTCCTGGCTTCTTAGGCAGGAGCTGAGGCTTGGAGTAGACTGAGGGGATCTCTCCTGCTTCAGTCTAACATGTGAGCCATACTACATGTGAGTGTCTCCAGAGCCTTTTGGATTAAAGTCCGAAAAATTTTGGCATTTGTAATGCCAAATACTCATTTGACATTTGTAGTCATGAAGATAAGTGAAGCTGTTTCAATTTGTCTGCAGTTCATACAGTTTTATTAGTCCCTGTACTAGGTAGGAATCCAGATTCCCCAGCAGAGATCAGGGTTTGTTTGAGTTCTTGTAATTGTGCTGCTGGATCAAGTCCAGATACCATCAGTTCTAGTATCCTGACTATGCTGATGATGGCAACAGAGGATCAAGACTCGAGAGCAGGCAACGTGCCCTGCATGGTTTCTAAGTATGTATTGATGGTATGAAGAGAGGCAGGTAGATGGTGGTGTGGGTGGTTTTTTTTTTTTTTGGTTTGGTTTCTTCAAGAGAAAAAGTTTAGAATTACTGTTTTGTTGGGGTAAATGTAGACCATCAGTCAATGTCTTCTGTCTCCTTGATAGTTGCTAGTTATGACAGTCCTTAACTCTTCTACACTGTGATTTGGCTTCTTTATCTGTTTCTTAAAATAAAAGGTCTTCTGAAACCTTAAAAAAATACTTCTTTATGTAATATTACACTGACATGTTAGTTCCAGTAATAAGATTTATATTTTTTTCCTTCAGAATCCTTGCTGGTGTACAGCTGGTTACACCATGTCATATTAATCTACATGTCAATTTCAGCCCTTTTTTAAAATACGAGCCTGTGCTTGCAGCAGTGTCTGTTTTTAATAAGAAGCTTAATTTTGAATCTACTACTCTGCAGTTCCTTGAGAACACTTGGATGTACCATCTGAGCATGGTAATTTAGAGCATTTTTATTTATCTTTTAGTTCCAGTTTTTGTACTGCTTCAGTTTCTTTGCAAGTGTGGTGTCATACTATAATCTCTGTAATGTAAGAGCAGATTTTATAGGTACGTACCTTCCACATTTATGTGCAGTTGCTCTTATGATTCCTCAAATGAACCAGTGAGACTGCAGGCACAGATTTAAAGTTTCTCTGGTTCCAAGCGAAGAACCAAAAGATGATAAAGGGACTGGTGCATCTGACATACAGGGAGAGGCGCAGAGAGCTGGGGTTGTTATGCCTGGAGAAGAGAAGGTTCTGGGATGGGAGTGGATTTGTCAACGTGTGTAATTACCTCATGGGAAGTGGCAAGGAAGATGTAGCTAGACTGTTCTCAGTGGTGCCTAATGAAAGGACAAGAGGAAAAGGACACAACTTTCAGGAACTTCGATTTAAATTAAGAAAAAAAATGCTGTTTGAATTGTTTAATACTGGAGCAGGCTGCCTGGGTAGGTTGTGGAGTCTCTCTCCCTGGAGATATTCAGAAGCTAACTGAACATGGTCCTGAGAAAAGTGCTGTAGCAGACCCAGCTCTTAGGAGAGGGGATTGGACAAGACGATTTTCAGATATCCTTTCCAACTTCAACCATTCAGTCTTTACTGATAAGGAACTTAAAATGAAACAACAACCTGAAATTACTGCGTCTCTCGTGAAAGAAAAGATCGAGAACAAATTTACTTGCCTTCAAGTCTCCCTAATGATGAAATTGGTCCAAAATCATCATTTAAATTCTCATTTTCAGTGGGATTCCTTAATATGTATGCAGTGTACCAACCAATTATTATAGGGACTACTTTTAACTGAACTTCTTATTCTAACTTGTTGCTGTTTTAACATGAATTGTATTTTAGCTCTCTGAATTTCCTTCCCAAGTCTTTTTTGCTGCTTCATGTCAGATTATTGGCCTCAGAAGTGTTAGCTACCAAAGTTGAAAAATCTTCTCTTTGAATTATGGGTAAATGACAACACTTAATTAGCTTGCTTTAATACTTGCTTCTCTGCCTTTTCTCAGTTAGGGCTGTATACCATTTCTGAGACTCACTTTTCCAAATAACGTTTATTAAACAGCTAAGAATTTTACTTCATTGCCTCTGACTTCTTGTTCTCTAATCAGCATGCTTAATTTCATTAACTCTCTAAAATCCAGTATTTGCCTTATTTTTTTCATATGTTTTTTTCTGTGATGTTGAATTTTACTACATTGTGATCACTATTTCTTACTGTCTTATTTTCCGCTACAGTTTGAATCTGATCTTGTACTTAGGGCTGATTGAGAATAATTTATTTTCTTGTATCTTTGGAATTATTTATTCAAGAGGTCACCATCTGAGCTATATTAGTACTATTTCATTTAATGTGTTATTATGTTCAACAGGGAACATAATTCATATTCTGTACTGAATTTGGTTCACTATATATTTATGCAGAGGTAGTTGAATAAAGCTATTTAGCAATGACATAGCAGATGGGTACAAAGAAATGAGAGACGATGGGCGAGGGCGTAAGTTGTTTAGCTCTATGGTTGAGAAGCTTCATTGTTTTGATTTGTTGCTATTTGAAATTTAAAAAAGAGTGAACTGCAAGACAGGACACTATTTGCTTCTTTACATTTGTGTAACTTGAGGGATATCAGTTGCAACCTCATTCTTGTGTGATGGCCATTTGTCTTAAAATGGAGGAAAACGAAGTATAAAGCAGTATGTTAAATTTAGAAACAGATGGAACTAGGTATCAGACCTGGTAACTACCATTATAGACAATGTTACTGTTTGTTTTTTTCTCCTGCAGAGTGCATCTCTTCAGAATGATAGTAAATAGTAGGAAGGGAACAACTGAGTCTGGCTTTATTGCAGTTCTGGGTTGACAAAGGAGCAGTTTATTCTGTTAAAATATGAGCTCATGGGAACCCTCTTTAATGTGTTCTTTGTGTATACGTTTTGACCAGAAATTGCTTGTTGTTGACTACTGAAGAGGTAGGCAGAAAGATACAAGGTAATGTGATGCATACCTTTCTGGGGCCATCCCCAGTGAGATGAGCAGTGTTTCTCACCTTTTCACTGATCTGGTCAGCTGGGGCACTGTGGCATATCATGTCATTCTACTATGGTGGCAGTACTTACAAGTTCAGACTCGATAAATTTACATACTGTAATATATCTCCATTTGATTCAGTGTTTCATCACCTGTATGTATATTTCTTTTTAAGGTGGGTAACAGTGTAATTAAAGTGCAGCTAAATTAATTGTGCTTTGCCTGACTGACATCTCACATAATATTCACTGAGGAGTTGTTGAAAAACAGGAATCACACTGGTGTTCTGGGCACACTCTGCTTTTGTTTTTATCTGGTTTGGAAATAAATGTATGAATGCAAAATCAATAATAGCATTTGAATATGAAATAAAGGTTGAGTGATAAATGCAGATGTAAAGGAGAGGCAGTTCTACACAGTCCTACAGTTACCTAGATCACATAATGAGCTAAATGGTTAGAAAAAAAAATGCTCAAATATAGCAGTTACTCTGACAAGTAGGAACTAGCAGTTTAGACTGGATTGAAAACAAATAGCAGGTCATTAGCACAACGAGTGCATTGCTGTACTTGTCTAATCATCTGTATGTAGTAGAATAGCTACATTGTACAATTTTGTTTAATATCTGAGTGCCCTGTGCTTTACACAAGTTCAGACTTCTGAACTATAGATGTTTCAGTGACCTGATCTTAATCTGAATTGTCCATAATTGTCTAACCGGTTTCTAACATTCACAGTGGACCATGAAAATATCTACAGTCAGTCATGTATTTTTCCCCTTTACTGCAGGCTAAACTCTTTCCAGCTGCTGTCGTTCATTTTGGATCTGAGGAGCGCAGGGGTGAGTGAGCTTCCTCTCTTCTTTAGCTCATAGTATTGCACCTATGTAGAAGACTGAGAACACTATATCTGTACATTCAGATCCCCCCTCTCCCCCCCCACTCCAAAAAAAAAAAAAAAAAGGCAATCCTTGAGAATGCTGGTAACTGTTCCCATTTAGAATGGCTGAAGCTCTTCAGAGCTAGAGACCTAGCCTGGTCCTGCAAGAATTGTATTTGATTACTGGTTAGCTTGACCACAAATGTAAGTATAGTACCTTTCTTGTGAGATTTTTTTAGCCTATGGAATAAGCGTTATCTACTCTGAGGATGAGAATGATAGAAGAATCCTTCTGTGAAATGCTGTTACAGACCTTCTGTTGTATGTTGTAGTATACTAGCTGGAGATGGGAGAACAGATTCGAACCTTCAGTTCTCTGACACCTGTGGTTTATGCATAGAATCTCTATTTGTCCCAGAGATTAAAGAATGCTGCAGCTTCACATAATAGCTTCTGAGATGCAGTGAGCACTGGAAGAAAATGTCATTATCTTGAGTTTTGAATGATGAAATAGAGCACCTTGACTTGTGAAAGAAACCATCATAGTTTAAATACATCCTATTTGTCAGCTGGTGGAAGGAGATTTACTGTAGTATACAGCCGGTATTTGCTGATCGTAGAGCTATGTGATTCTGTGGTGACTGATGTCTTTGTTACCAAACAAGTGTTTGTATTTCATTGGATTTTATTTTAAACAGATTGTTACCTGAAATCAGACCTGCTGAGCTCTGCAGTTTCCCCTTCTGCAGCTGATTTATTAGTGTCCAGGTATGTTGGGACTGAATAGAGTTGCAAATGAGTTTTTCAGGGAGGGGAGGCGTGAAGTGAGTCTATCTTTCTAAAAAGAAATATGATCTGAAGATAGATACTAGGACTTCAGCTTCTCCTTCATATAGTCATACTTGAGTTTGTAGCTTATGAATCACAGAATCCTTCTTTGTAAAGCAGCATTTCAGTGACTAAAGTAATCCTAAGGTCTTTGTTATGAAAAGGAAGAGCCTTTTCAATCTGACTTTGAAAGCTTAAAGGTGGACTTTACATGGGGCTATTATGAAAAAAATGAAGTTTAATTCAATTTGCTTATTTTCTCCTCAGATGTTTGTCCAAGTCATTAGTTCCTTCTGCCTCATCATCTTTAGAATCAACAGTTCCATCCCTACCTGAACCAGAAGCAGGAAGTGACAAAAAGACTGATGAGCAACCAGAACCAGCAAGAGTGCATGGAGCTCCACAAGTGTTGAAAAGGGACCCTGGGAAAATACCCAAATGGCTGAAGCTGCCAGGTAGCATGAAATTGGAGGAGAGTTCTTCTCCTGCTGAACTCCACAGAAAGGCAGGCTCCTTTATATCAAATGCTTTGGATGTTGACACTGTTCTTAAAGATGTCAACAGAAGGCTTGGAAGATATATACATGGTTCAGTGCTTGTCAGTCACAAATCAATTTGTGACCTAAACTTCAGCCTTCAGTGGAGAAGCACCTAAGTGCTGTTTCCAGGCTGCGTTGAGCCTGAGGTCTAATTCATTATGCTTGCAGCATCCTTAACTACGTCCTGAGTTCTTAACTATGCCAGTATAGTTCAAATACTAATACTAATGGGCATGATATTCAATCTATAAATGGCCTGTGTAATCTGTTAAAACCTCCATCAGTTCTTTGTCCTTTACTGGCATAGTCTGTTTTAGTCCTTTCCTTTCTCTTAATTTTTGAGCTGGTCTTTTTGTTGATCTCTTTACTTCAGAGCAGTAGTGGTTTTCTCTAGTTGAGATTGCACCCAAACTTCCATTATGTCTTTTTTTTTTCCTCATCAGAGAACTGCAGCCTTGGTTCTAGTCTCAGAACCAATAGTTTGTGTGGTTTTATATGAGAATTTATACAAAATATGAAGGACTGAAAAAAGCATTCCTAAATTAAACAATTGGCAATACTGATTTTCTGATGCAGTGACAAAGAATAAAAAGTTAAGTCAACCCCCCTAAAAAGCAGTAAAACTAGGAAGCATTATCTGAAATTCCCTGGCTAATAATGCCAACTTTTAGTTTCCTGTTAGAATTTTAGTACTTGATTCTGTGGGGCCGGCAGCGTAGCATATGGTGTGTAGTGATTACTGGAAGGCTGCAAACAGTGGGTCTGTGTGTGTTTCCCTGCTATAGCTGATCTGTCCTTGATGAGAAAAAGGACAGTGGTTAAACTAAAAGAGGGTAGATTTAGATCAGACATTAGGAAAAAATACTTCATTATGAGAATGGTGAGGCACTGGAACAGATTGCCCAGAAAAGTTGTGGATGCCCCATCCCTGGAAGTGTTTAAGGCCAGGTTGGATGGGGCTTAGTGCAACCTGGTCTAGTGGAAGGTGTCCTTGCCTCTGGCAGGGGATTTGGAATTAGATGATATTTAAGGTCCCCTCCATCCCAAACTATTCTATGAGTCTATGACTGATACTGGGTTACTGGTGCAGATTATGTGGAAAACAGTATCTTTACTGTTTCCAGTATGCTTGAACTGTTTCACTTGAGTACAACTTTCTTTCCCAAGTAAAGATGATCAGGATAAAGCACAAAACATCTTGTCTACCTATGTAGGTTATCCACAAACAGCTTGTATGAAAGTTTAATAACATATTCTAATATTTATGTCAGTAACATGTAAGATGAAATTCTCTTTCCTGGAAGCTATGTTGTATTTACCTTTCCACTTGCTGAAGAACTACTTGTCCATGCTACCCAACTGTTGTCTGAACACAGGAACATATAGAATGAGATCGTGTTATTGAGAAATGATGCAGTGCCAACTGTGTGGTTAAGTGTTTTAATGGTCTTATGTTTGTGTTGTAGGTGGGAAGAGATGAAGCATTTTGGGGTGCAATGAGCATTCAGCTGTGCCTCTTTCCTGATGAACTACTTGAGAATTTGTAAGAAATTGTTGGTGGCCCAGGAGAGGCCTAATCTGTATGAACATTAGTTATAAACAGAAAATCGCTTTTTCAGCTGCCAGTTTCATCTTTTGGAGGAGTGGAAGGCCTATTTATGGGCTTTGTGACTACAGAATCAAGATTAGGGGTTAAATTTAAGATTTCCTGCATGCAAATTATGTGAATAGAGCATCAAGGGGGAGATAATTCCTAGATAATCTTTCTGAAGGACTTTGCTTCCATCCATGTTCTTAAATTTGAATCTCCTAGTTCAACCTTCAAAGATAAGTGGAGTCTGGCTTCCTGAACTCTAGCAGCAAGGTACAATTAATTCAGTTTTATCTATAGTTTAGTGCTGCCTAGAACAAGACTTCTCTCTGCTTTTTGCTGGCTAGGGTTAGTGCTGCTGGTAATTCTGGGCGTAGTTGGCTGGAAAGTCACTTCAGAGGAAGCACTTATACTGCAACAGATCAAATAGGCTTTTCCTGTGAACCACTTGGTTTGCTGCACTTGTATTGTTTTCATTTACCAGAATCTTTTTAACGAAGAACACAGGTATCTATTAGTAGAAAGCATGCGGAGTTTGTTTCTGCCACAAGCTCTGTGCTTTATTTTCACTATACCTAATTAACATCGGTAATTATTGGTATAATCAGAAAAAAAAAAAAATCCTGTAAAAGAGTCTCTTCATGTGATCTTTGATCTACAGATTTCTTCTTTGGTCTGAGTACTTCCACAGCAAAGTAGCTGTTCTCTGCAATGCAGTTAGTGTACAGAGGGAAGTGCTAGTTCTGATCTTTGCCTCCTGCAGATGTTGTAATGGAATGGGTATTACTGTTTAGAACTGTGCTTATATTGGATATGAACTATATAGTGCCACTGTAGCCATGGTGCTGTATTTTATTTGAAGTTTTCTCCATGGACTGGTGATTTATATTGGACGAACTGGGGTTCCTTGTTATGGTAATAAAATATTTTCCATTTTCCCTGTATAGACAATTGTTCCCTAAACTATGTGTGCATCTGCACGATTTGTAAATGTAATAAAGCGCAGTGTCCAGAGGAGGCCGTTTTGTCGGTCTCTTTGATGATGTGTTCCTTCCCCCAGTGCTCTGCTTCTCTATTGCTTCTCTGTTAGTTCACAGGAACCTGTTCTCTTTTCAATGGGCCTGTCATGCCTCATTCCCTTCCTCCCATTTTTTTCCCCAACAAAGCAAAACAGAGCTTTGTACCATCTGAATGAACTTCAAAGTGGCTAGAAAGGACACCCAGGGTTCCTGGCACTTGTAATTGTCTCCCAGTCTGGCCAACATTTCCCTTCAGGTCTAATTACTTCCAAATGCTCCCAGATGCTTTGAAGAAAGTCAGAGGGAGGGGAAGGCATGAAAGGTGGAAGAGGAAAAAGACTCCAAATGGAGGGAGCAGAATGCAAAAATGTTGACTGATTTCTTGTATGACACCTAAACACAAACAGGGAGGGTGTGCAGCCTCTGGCAGTGGAGAACGAAAGAACACTATAGAGGTGCTGCTCTAAATCCTTTCCGTGGAAAGCAAGCCCTTCTGGCACTTGACAGGATAGCTGTAAAAGACATACTACAGCAAAACAAAAGAAAGTAAAATAATCACACAGAATTTCTAGGTTGGAAGAGACCTCAAGATCATCGAGTCCAACCTCTAAATGTTTAAAGCTTACTACTTTAGTGGATTTAGTGTGGGCTGAGCATGCATTCCACAGGACTGCCTATCTTGGTTCAGGTGCTATGTTATGCTTGCTCTTTCCACAGAAGTCAGCAGTGTATTGTAGCTAGAGATACTTTGCTGAGTTCATGCAGGATATATTGGAGGCAAATATCCATAGGTTGGCTCCCGTATAGGTTAGGTGCACTGGTGTGTATACTTGTGCTGCTGTTGTCTGATTCACTGGATTAGAATAAATGGAAGCATTCTGATTGGTAGGAAGTTGTGCTGGGCTTTCAAATGTGCTAGTCTTGTTTTTGAAGAGCACAGGCAAAGTCAACTAGTTATGACTAGCTTAGCTATTTCGATTGCAACAGTTTTGATAAAAGAGCAAGCACCGTAGTTGTCACCTGCAAGTGTTATAGGCAAACAGAGGGAAATATCAGGATAGCAGTATCAGTATTATTGGGGCAGTTTCTTGGGTTAAGCACAGGGATGAGGATTAGGGAGCTAGTGTCTGGTCTATCTTGACCTAACCGCTGTTCACAGAAAGTTAGGTTGTCTTAATCTGACAGAGACACTAAAAAATCTTGGCAGTTTCTTTTTAGCTGTGGTTAGGGATGAGCAACAGCTGCAGGATCAATATTGGTTTTAACCAGATCACCAGAGTGAACTTTCTAATAATCTAAAAGTCAAGATACTGGTTTATCCAATTATAATCTGATAGGCTATGCCAGTGAAAAGAGGTTTCTGGTGAGGAGGCAGCATTCTCCCTCTTGACTCTTGCAGCCATGTTCATCCTGCTATGTACACTAACTTCAGTCAGTTGCATATCCCTTGTGTAACACTGTAATGCACCAAACACAATTTAATCTACTCCTTTTTCAGGAGAATGAAAAACTGGTACTTTCAACAGCTGGACCAGAGGTCTTATTCCCCCTTCCCTATGCAAAAAAAAAAAAAAAAAGGGTGGGGGAGGGTTTAACTGTTGCTGTTACAGTACCACTTTACCACTAACACTCAGATCTGCAGTCATCTACAGTCAAGAGAGCTGGTGGCTGGGGAATTGAACTCCTACTGTTTTAGGGAGGTAGACTGACAGATCTGTATGCCACTAGGAGTCAGAACGGGGGAAAGTAAGGATTTGGAATGCGGATAAGGCAAAGTAGGAGTGGGTTCTTTAAGAGGAATAAGGCTCTGATACTTAAAACTGCAGGCTCTTCAATAAGGTAGTTGCTAACAAGGATTCCTACTGTGCCAAAGAGCAATACATGCAGATACCAGATTTGCTTCAATCTTTCTTCTGCTGTAGTAGCTGAACTCATTTTTGAGGTTGTTGGGCATTCAAAGGTAGTATTATGTGCATTTTTTTTTGCTATTGACTTTTTTTTTTTTTTTTTTTACAACTTGGTTGTGGGGCTGAATGCTGAACTAGGTCAGTTACTTCACTGGTTTCGTTGTACAGCTGCACAAACAGTTCTCTTGGCAAAGAGGCTACAATGGAGAGGGTTGGGGCACTGCTTAAACTGGTACTGTCACCAAAAAGAATGTGTATTAAATTTTGGTTTTATTTAAGTTTCCAAGTGACTTGTGTCTGGAGTGATGACCTGGATGGTTCTTAGATGAAAGAGTACAGTGACCTACTGAGCCTTTGCCTGCTACAGCTGCCAGTTGGAGGGAAAAAAAGCCACTATTACTAATTATAAAGACTACAGATAGCCAGCAGCAATGTGCAACCCTTAAGATGCTAGTGTCAGCTGCTTTTTATGTAGCAAGCTATGTATTTCCCAACAAAGCCAGTTCAGTTGTGTGAATCCTCCCTACATGTGTAAGGTTTCTTATTTCACAGCTCCCGCCCCCAGCCCCCCCACTGGCTGAGGGGCCGAGCTGTCCCATGATGTGGGATTCTCACACATGCTGTTTGTTATTCTGTCCTTTTTCCTTTCGTCCTACAAAGATTTAGAGAAGAGGGTGGGTGAGGGTAAAAACTGTGCAAGTCTTTGAAGCAACTTGACTTTTGATGATTAATTACAGCAAAGAGCCTGCACAAGGGAGGGAGACTTGGTTTTGATTTATTGATGTTTCTTTGTGAGAACAAATTTATAGCAGAGTGCAAGCAGCTTCTGAGGAGAATATCAAATGGTTAAAAGGTTTTGAACATGCTTTGATGTCACAGTGCTGGAGAAATACTGGAAAGTAGTGAGGGACAGGCACTGTTTATTTATAAAACAAAGATCAGATACCTGTTTTTGGCAGGAGCCTATAACAGCGCTCCTGTTAACAACCTATTCATTAGACAGACTTGGAGCTGAACCTTAAGTTTCTGCCACAGCTGCCTGCTGAGGTGATGAGAGCCTGATGTTTGGATGACATTTCCAGCCATTAAGTCTTTCCATGCATCTCGTCTTGTGAAGCAGCACCTGTTTCTCACATTAGCTGAGAAAGCAACACCGCTTTACCATGCTCGTAAGTACTGGCTACTGTTAAAGGAGTTAGGCAGCAAGATGGAAACCAACTGCAGTCTATCAAAACTGCGTAGGGCAGCCTCTTTTTAAAAATAGTACCTGATAGCATAGTTGCCTAGGGCTTTGTCATGCTTGGTAGAGAAGAGAGGAAATGGAAGCCGTATGGCAGAGAAAGAAGGTGATGACGCTGTTCTTCCTAGAGCTAGACGCTGAGTACACTAAGCCAGATGTTCACTGTCAGGTCAGGATCTTCTGCTGGCAGCTGGCATGTCACATTTGCTTCATGAGGTCTCTAGAAATCTAGGAGCTGTAAGGAAAGCACAACAGCTTCTTTAGCGTTTTAATCAACAAGCCACTTGGCACAGCTGATGGCTCACTGTTACACCTGCCAAAAGGAAGAGGATTAAGCAGCCTCAGTCCACATCCCTACCCTGTTGAAGTGCGTTCGGACTCCAGTTACGTACCAGCTGTGGCAGCACTTTCTCTACATGCTCAATATTCACGTTTTCCACGTCCTCCGCTTGAGCCTGCCGCGCTGCTCGTGCCGCTGCTTCTGCGGTACAACCGTAAGGACACAGCTGTTGGGGGGGGGGGGGTGCCAGGAGGGGGCAGAGGCCGCGAGGCTCCAGCCCCCTGGAGGCCGTCCGGCAGCGGGCACGCGGCTCCTCCGCTGCTGCGCCCGGCCGCGGGGCTACGGCACCGGAGCGAACGGGGCGCGGGCCGGGGCCCCTCGAGCCGGTAACGGGCCCCTGCTGCGGGTCGGACGCACCAAGCGCCGCGCTCACCTCGCACGAAGACCTTGAGCAGCTCCGCCGTCAGCCGCAGAGCGTCGCCGTTAACTGCAACGACAAGGCGCTAGCGGGAGGCGGGCGGGGGGGGGGGGAGGTGCCGCGCCGCGCCCCGCGCCCCCCGTACCTCGCGTCCTGTCGTCACGGAAGTGCAGGCGGAGCAGCCGCTCCACGGTGTCCTGCGGGGAGAGAACAGCCGCTGAGCCGCCCGGTGCCGCCCCCGCCCGGTGCCGCCCCCGCCCGGTGCCGCCCCCGCCCGGTGCCGCCCCCGCCCGGTGCCGCCGAACCTTCCTGAAGCCGCCGTCCCGCTCCTCCATGGCGGCGCGCGCGGCCGGCCCCGCCCCGCGGAAGTGCAGCCGGGGCGGGGGGGGGGGCGCGGCTCCGTGGCGGCAGCGCCGCGCCCGGCGGCGGGAGGTGGCGCCGCGCCGCGGCCATGGAGGAGTTCCGGCGGGCCTACGCGCGGCTGTGCGCGGCCGGCGGCGCGGCGCCGCAGGAGGCCGTGCTGCGGCGGCTGCGGGAGCTCGGCGAGGCGCCGGGCCGCGGCCGCCTGGACCTGGCGGCGCAGAGCCTCTCGCTGGAGACGTGCGGCGCCCTGGGCCGGCTGCTGCCCGGCGCCGCGCCCTTCGCCGAGGTGGCGCTCGGCGACTGCGGCCTGAGCGAGGAAGGTGGGCGCGGGGCCCCGGCCGCCCCCCCCCCCCCCCCTCCGCCTTCCCGGCCGGGAGCCGGTCCGCAGCGTGCGGCGGGGCGGGCCCCGGCGGCCGGTCCCGGCTGCGGCCCGTCCGTGCGGCCGCCGCGATGGCGGGGGCGCCGCGGGCTGCCGGGGACCGACAGCAGGAGAGAAGGAGCCGGGAGCGCGGCTGCAGAGGAGCGGATTGTTCCAAGCAGATGAATCTGCCCCGCCTGTGACTGGGCAGTGAGGTGACAGCGTAGTTGGAAGCTGGTCACAAATCCCTTTTTTTTTTTTTTTTTTTTTTTCTTTTTCTCCCCCAGAAGTGTTTTCATTTTTTCCTTCTGTCTTCGAGAGTGTGTCTTCAGGTGTTAACTTGAATAGAAGGGATTGGATGTAGCTACCGGTTCAGGAGGTCTCATGCTAGTCAGCTTTAATCGCTTGATCGTTAGTCCCAGGAGACGTTGG